TGAAGGATTTTGGCTCCTTGGCGGCCTCCTGGGGAGGCTCCGTGCCCATTTCGAGCCGTCATGGAGCGGTCTTGGGGCCTCCAGGAGCATCTCGGGAACCATCTTGAACCATCTACCTTGAGCCATCTTGGAGGTCATCTTAGGCTCTCTGAGGCCGCTCCGGGGCCTCTTGGGTGCGTCTCGGGTGCCTCTTGGAGGCCTCTTCGGGCTTCTTGGGGCGCTCTTGGAGCCCTCTTGGGGGCCTCTTGGGAGCCCTGGAAGGCCTGATGGTGCTATCTTGAAGGTGGTCGGTCAAGAGGGGGGTGTCCTCGATGTCTGCTCCCCTCGGGGGCCACGATCCTCGTGGGGCATGTCAAACATTGGCCCTCCCACTGGCCGAGAAAGGACCCTCTGACACATCGGTCCCCCTCCCAAAAAACCCCAGGGAGGGGAGGGGGAGGGTTCCCTTTCTCGAGGGGAAGAGGGGTTGTGGAAGAAACAAGAGATCAGCCTTAGACCACCTGTCGCCCAACGGGCTGCTGGGATTCGCACTCGCGCGCTCTCTCTCTTTCTCTCTCTCTTTCTCTCTCTCTTTTGTTCTCTCGTTCTCTCAGTTTTTGTTTGTTGTTCTTTCTTTTTTGTCTACTTTCTTTCTCTCTCTCTCTATTTTCTGTCGCGCCCTTAGGTTTTTGATTATGTGCCCATCATTCATGATTGCTTTTGCTACGGTTTGTATTCCCACTTTCGCTCCATCTCTGTATCGCAAGTATACCTCTCTCTATGGCTCTCTCTTTCTCTTTCTTCCAGTCTGGCTCTCCCACCTTCCACACGTCTCGCTCATGCAGGGGTTACTCCTACTTTCACCTTCATCCCCAGCCCCACCCCTCCGACATGCACCACCCGCATTCGAGGCTCTCGCTTTCATGCCGACTACCGCGTTGACTTTTGCACGCGCTGCCGTTTTTGTGTTTGCTCATTTTCACTCCATTCACCTCTACACATGTTATCTATCGCTCTTTCATTTCTCAGTCGACCTCGGCGAGGCAGTGGCACGCCTGGCAGCCAGCGCTGGCTCAACATCAGCTATGCCATCGAGCCTGCTTTCAGCTGAGGGCATTCCTCCACTGCGCGCGAAGGCCCTCGCGTTGAGCTCTTGAAGCTGCCTTCGCTGCGTGGGCTTCTTCTCGATGTCCCTGCCGGAGTCCTTCCCTCCCCATGCTCCTTGCTCTCCCGCTATCTCATCAGCCCTGCTTTTCCTGTCTGTGTGTTCTGACAAGGGCCCTTCCCTCGGTTCCGAGAGCAGTTGTGGTTTCAGGCATGCGGGGTGAATCGTGGACGCTTCGCGTGTCCCCGCCAGCCCGTCCAGAAAGAGTCCTGTGCTGGCAAGGCAGAGGAGCATCAGGCAACCCAGGCGGGGGGTACGCCAGCCACAGGGAGGCCAGGATCAGCCCGAAGTCCAGCAACGGCCCGCCTGGAGACCTCGGAGCTCCTCCTGGAGCCATCTCTTGGCTCTCTTCAGGGTCTTCTTTTGGGGCCTTCCAGGGGGCACTCCAGGGGGCCTTCCAGGGGATCTGTTGGCTTTCTTTTGGCTCCTCCTGAGGCATTCCAGGGGGCCCTCCGCGGAGATCCGTCCCAGAGGCCAGCGGCCAAGATGGGGGCACTCCGAGTAGCGACAAGGCGAGAAGGCAAAGAACACCGAGCAACGTTAGGCTTCTCGGGAGTATTCTCGGGGAGGCTCCAGGGCCAGCTCGAACCATCTTTGGGCTAGCTTGGGACCTCTCGGAGGCATGTCGCAGTCCTTCCTGGGTCCAGTGCCATCTTGTATCATCTCGGAGGGCATCTTGGAGGCCACCTGGGCCGTGTGGATGCGTTTGGAGTGTATGGATGCGTTCGGGGTGTGTGTGCCACCAGGGACGAGTGGGTCCGAATGTGCGTAGACCTGCGGCACGGGCGACTGAGTACGATTGGGCTCGAGAATGAGTTGGTTTGAGTGCGGGTGGGTATGGGTACAAGTAGACATGGGCATGGGATAATGCACCGCCGTGGTCGACATCTTCATGAGGTGGCTCCCGTACAACGCCTGCTACGTCGCAGTGATCATGGATCTGTGAGAAAGGACAAGCGAAAATACCAAAGCTGCGTTCTGCTTGACAGGTCGTACTCATCTGGGCGCGAGCGGCGCGTGATATTTCCCTGATCGCCCCCTATTGAGGAGGTCCCCGTGTGGTGCTTGCTACATCTGGGATTTCATGGGGAAAAAAGAGACGGCCGCCCAAAGCCCAAGTGTTCTCTACCCAGGTCTCGAACATGTGGGCGCGAACGGGCCCGTGACACCTCTTGGTCGCACCTTTGGGGGGCTCGGGTGCGACGCTTGCCTGTCACGCGTGCGTCTTCTTCATGCGAGTGTATCCGGATCTGAGTGAGCCTTAGTGTGAGTGGGTGTGAATGTTCGAGTGTGAGCGAGCCCGAGTCCGGGAGTAGGGTGGGTTTGAGTATGAATGAGTCTCAGCACGGGTGAGTTTGCATGCGGGGGAATCGAAGTTTCAGTTTTATCATGGAGGGGGACGGGGCAGGTGGGCGTACCCCCAAAAAAGTATCCCCGCAAGGGCCGCTCCTGCTCGCTGTTTTTTCCTTCCGTCGGCGCGTGGCCCGCCCGTCCTGCACGGCTTTCGACTTGCTTCGCGAGCCTGCGTACCAAAACAATCCCCGCCAGTACATCCAGAAACGCTGCCTAGGCGATTTCATTCAATCAGGGACGTGCAGGAGCTCATGGTGGAGCAAAGAGAGGGGCAAGCGGTCAAACCGAGGCTCGGAAGCACCTGGACAGACCCAGGAGTCAACCATGCGCACCTTCTAGGATGTTTCGATGCGGGAACCAGTTTTTAGCTCACTTGGGCCACTTTGCGGCGCTCTTTGGGTCATTCCAGAGGCCTTCAGGTCTCTCTTGGGGCCGCCTTGGAGGTCTTGGGGGGCCTCCCGATGCCGACCCAGAGGCCATCGATCAAAACATTACGCCCCCCCGTTCCCCCGTCGGATGCCGAATGATCACCTGTGGGGGCGCTCTTGGGGCGCTCTTGGGCGCTCTTGTGCGCACTTGGGTCCGTCTTGGAGCCCTCTTTGGTCTCTCTTGGGGCTCTCCTGGGTCATCTTGTAGTTACCTCGAGGTCTCCATCGAAAGCGAAAAGGCGGGAAGAGGGCAACAGCGAACTTTCTAAAATCTCTACTCCCAAATGGCTGTTGGGATTCGCGAGCACATTCCCATAAGTGGGTTGAGTCTGAACGTGAGTGAATCTTAGTGTGAGTGGGTCTGAGTAGGACTGAGTCCGAACATGCTTAAGTTTGAGTATGAACGGACTTGTGTACGAGTGAATCTGCAGGCGAGCTCCGTATAAATTGGAACGACGCACCCTCGGGCGCGATCACTGAGGCGCTCACGGTGTCTCGCCCAAACTTTTCAATTCCACAAGGACGCTGGCGTCCAGCGTCCGGTACTCGAATCTCTTGGCCCTGTCCTACGGCCACAGCGGTACCCACTACAGTACAAACAAGTACAGTGAATGTGATGGTAAGGAGGAGGAGGGAGAGAAGGATGACGATGAGGACGATCAGGAGCAGCAGTAGCAGTAGTAGTGGTAGTAGCAGTAGTAGTAGTAGTAGTAGTAGTAGTAGTAGTAGTGGTGGTGGTGGTGGTGGTGGTGGTGGTGGTGGTGGTGGTGGTGGTGGTGGTGGTGGTGGTGGTGGTGGTGGTGGTGGTGGTGGTTGTAGTAGTAGTAGTAGTAGTAGTAGTAGTAGTAGTAGTAGTAGTAGTAGTAGTAGTAGTAGTAGTAGTAGTAGTAGTTAGTAGTAGTAGTGATCCAACGTAAGTAGCGAAGTCACCCCAGAGCGAAGTAGAGTCACCTATCCTAGTAGACAGTAGAGTCAGTAGTCTCCCCCCGGCTGAGTAGTTTCTAGTGTAGTCCCTAGTATAAACGCGAGTACAAACAAAAAAGTAGTAGTAGGAGTAGTAGTAGTAGTAGTAGTGTAGTAGTAGTAGTAGTGGTGGTGGTGGTGGTGGTGGTGGTGGTGGTGGTGGTGGTGGTGGTGGTGGTGGTGGTGGTGGTGGTAGTGGTGGTAGTAGTAGTAGTAGTAGTAGTAGTAGTTTTTAGTTGTAGTAGGAGGTATGCCAGAGCTTGGAGGGAGGACGGAGGAGACATCCCCAGGCCCACAGATTTATTCTCAGAGTACAGCAACGGTGAACGAGCCTGGCGAAGGACCCAACGATATTCAATTGCGAATGCCGCAATTGCGAATACCATCTTCGCCCGCGCTCCCTGTGGCCACGAACCGCGTGAGGGGCGTGCCGAATTGCGAGGCGGGGTACACAACGCGAGGGAAGACGATAGGTCTGTGCGCGAGAGATTGAGAGCGGGTGAGTCTGAGCGCGAGTGAGTCTGATTGTGAATGAGTCTGTTCGCGCGTGAGTATACGTGCATGAGCGTCGACGCCCATGTCGGCACGCCCCTGTCAAGGGTTGCGCCCGCTTCCTTCCTCTTCTGTTTTTCCTTCTTTGCCCGCGCACGCCAATGTCCAAGGCTGCGGGTGCGGCGCCGCACGGAGTCCCCGCGACGCACGCCGGTCGCCCCGAAGGGGTCCCGGCGACGCGTGCGGGTCCGCGCTGCGCGGAGCAGAGAAGGAGCGCTAGCTGGCTGGCTGATAGCAGGCAAAGCTCTGGCCGCTGGGCAGACCGACGACGGGGGCGAGCGAGGCGCTGGGCAAAGCGCACCATGGAGTTCCCGCGACGCGCGCTGGTCGCCCCGAGCGGGCCCCAGCGACGCGCGCGGGTCGTCCGCGGCGCAAGGCCGAACAGTCAGGCCGTCGAGAGACGGCGAGGTTCGGGCGGGCCTCTCCTCAAGTCAAGCCTCGCGGATAAACTCCGTGAAGCCCAGCTCCCTGGCGAGGGCCGTCGCCCTCTTCCGGCGCCGCTTCGTGCGCGCCGCGAACTGATCCAGCTGCTTCCGCAAGCCCTTTGGCGGCCCTGCCAGGACGTGCTCGATGCGCGGCGCCCGCATGAGCAGGAGGGTCGTGGCGCGTGGCGCGCGAGAACAGCGCGTAGAGCTCCAGCCGCCAGTCGGCGTCCTCCTTCTTGCCATTCCCGACCTCGTGGCGGCCGCAGTCCAGGATCACGCGTGGGCGATGTCGGCCGAGGGAGCAGCGCGCAGGACAGCCGACGGCCCAGGGAGAGAATCCACAGGACCGAGAGAACGTCCGGCCACGATGCTCGTGGGGGGACGGCATGGCCCGTGGCCGCCTCGCGAACCTTGCAAGTGGCGCCTTCGGTGGAGCTCTTATGGGGCCACGATCCTCTTGAGGGGTGTGCCGACATGGCCTGAAGCCGCCATGCGAACCTTGCAACTGGCGCCTTTGGTGGAGCTCCCTATGGGGTCACGATCCCCGTGAAATGTGTGCCGAAATGGCCCGCAGTCGCCATGCCAACCCTGCCACTTGCGCCTTCGGTGGAGTTCCTGTGGGGCCACGATCCCCGTGGGGTGTGTGCCGAAATGGCCCGAGGCCGCCACGCGAACCATGTCACTGGGGCCTTCGGTCGAGTTCCTTCTGGGGCCACGATCCTCGTGAGGGATGTGCCGAGATGGCCCGAGGCCGCCATGCGAACCCTGCCATCGGGGTTTTCCGCGGTGGAGCTCTTATGGGGCCACGATCCTCGTGAGGGGTGTGCCGAAATGGCCCGAGGCCGCCATGCGAACCTTGCAAGTGGCGCCTTTGGTGGAGCTCCCTATGGGGCCACGAAGCGCTGTATTGGGTGGGTGAAACGCAGGGGGAGGGTTGGAAGGAGGGAGGAGGAAAACGGGGGCCGTCTCTTCAAAATAAGGACCGAACGCAACAGGATGGTGGGGAAAAAGCACAGGGTTCAATGATATCATTTTTTCTCGGATGTGCGAAAATCATTTCTGCGCTAAGCGGATCCGCCAATGGATTTGTTTACGTCGCTAGAATACATATTTTCATAATTTCAGATATCCTGGACCCAGGGGATCTGGGATCTTTGGGGCTCTGCACGTGACACATCATGCTGTGATTCTGTGGGGATGCCTTTCAGGATCATGGTCATGATGATGATTATGATGAGTAGGAGGGTTCGGATTATGATACGGATTAAGGTTATCATTCGTATTTTTATTTTCGTTGTTGGTGTTATTCTTATTATTATCATTCTTGCCATTTTTCTTAATATTATTTTTCATGGTTTATTATTATTATCATTATTATTATTATTATTGTTTTTACCATTATCATTATGATGAACATTATTATTCTCGAAGTATGTATTTATTTCGTTCATTATCAATGCTATGATTTTCTATTTATTTTTACTGTTATTATTGTTGTCGTTATCATCATCACCAGCTCGAGCGTCACTGTTCTCGCCCACTCCCACAACACCCCCATAACAACGGAAGCGA